GCTGTACTCATTGTGAACTGGCAACTTGTAGCCGGCAGTTTCATCTCTATAGTATAAGCAAATTAACTTCTCCAAAGCGCTGGGGCTGCACATCAACTGCAGGCAACAAAGCCTGCAGTATTGTTCTAGATGAACCATCCTGATAGTTGCAGTACTTCCTCTAGGCCTCCCTTCTCCCGCAGAATTAACCCCAGGGAATGACATCATGTCAGGGTTTCCAGATGGATTATGTGAAGCCATAGCTCAATGTCATTTTCAATAGCCAAGCTTATAATTAAAGGTCAAATAGTCACTTCATCTGCAATCAATCAATAGAAGAAGTACTAATACTAAGCACTAATCAATCAATGGCAAATACACTAATAAAAGCCATGCATCAAATGTCTTGTGTTTCATGTGCTTGCATGTACTAGGCATGCATGTTCCAAAGAGGCAGAGAGAGAAAAGAACAAAATGAGAGCAAATATGCCTGAGGGAATTCTCAGGTGCCACATTTATCTTCACTAGTGAGATTTTATATCCCTAATTATCTAGTTAAACAAAATACAAATAAAAGTGATGTCATGGCAGAAATTATGCATTCTTGTTAAAAAGAATGAGCGGAGTTCAGTTTCTATCAAAGCTGATGTTATTAGATGAAATATACCAAGGAGCAATGTCAGGGAGGACTGTATGTTTTTTCGTGTGTGCGTGTGTTTTGATCCATACAAATTCAACCTATGCACCCTGTGCCTTGAGGAAACGCAGGTACATCAACTGTTCTGTCTACAGAAGGAAACCCAACATATGGGAGGGAACTGTGCTTGTCTCAGTGTTGAGTGAGAGCTTCTTCATGGATCCAAGCAGAGGAAGTGGCAGATGGCCTCCTGAGCATGCCGCATGTGGGAATTAGTTGGCTTCATAATACGGTGTGGGAGAAGTGCCTTACAAGAGTCTTCTCATGCTTCTCTTATTACCACTTCTAAGGCTTCAAAGCTGTCATCTTTCCTCCTCCTCTGCTGGTGCTATGCTGCACTCCCCAGGGAATGGACGCAAGGCACCCTGTGGAGGCTTCACATGCCAGAATGTGAAAAATCAGTTTAAGCTCCAAGTGAAATGGCTTTTGTTGCAGGAGGCCCCTAAGTGCTCTTGTTTGCTTAGTGGTGCTGGAGTTTTGAAGGCAGATAAAAACATCCTCACAGCGGACTTAAAAGAAGGCCCTGAAGTTCACTGGTGCCCTTAAATATTCAAACACAAGTGTTAAAAACAGAATCTTGCTTCTCTCCTAAATCTGTTCAGGTAAATTACAGTGGAACACCACAACAGACAAGTTGTCATTCGTTATGAAGTCGGCAGCAAAAGTCTTGTTGGTTTCCTGGGTAGAAAGATCTGGCCTTGGGAACAGACGATAGTAGATTAACTTAATTACTATTCTAGAACAATGTGACTTTAGACAAAACATCACTCCCATGTTGTCAGGGGCCTCAATCCAGAGATTCCATTTATACTCCCCCCCCCCGAACTGCAACATCTTGTCCCATTGCGTCCCCTGAAACCTCAGGAAACACACCACAAACAAATCTGCTCTAAAAAGCTGGCAGATTAAACATACTTTCACAATTATTCCAAAGCTTCCTGACTAGGACCTCTGGTAAATTCTATGACAAAAAATTACTTTTCTAAATATAGAAAATTTTAGATCAGAGTACAGTACTTAGGAAATTTGTAACACAGCAATCTACCTTTTTCGGATCAACAATAAACCCCAGCTGGCAACCAAGGGACCCACTTTTATTTTTAGCCACTAGAATCCATCTTTCTTCTTCTCTTCTCTTTCCTCAGTCTTTCTCCTATTACTTTCTTCTATTTTCACTTCTCTTAAAAAATGTAATTAAACAAGGAAATTTGTAGAGAAGCTGCTGGTGCAAGCCATCTTATGTCAGTAACCGCATGCTTATTCAGGAGCTCTCTGCCCATAATGGCGTCTAAAGACAATGGCAGACATTCACCTCTTCTGTCTCTTTACTCTGCAATAGTGGTTTCAGCTAGCATAACCACCTGATCAGCTGATACTTCCAGTGAGGTAAACACTCAAATCACTTAGCTGGTGCAAGACTTTTGCTGTTCATAGACAAGATCTCTTAAAAAGAAAAATTAAATATTTTCTATAGTATCTGCACCCAAGGCAGCATACAGGGATAAAAATGAACAAAGCACAAGTTTAAAAAATCTGCAACATAAGGGGGGGGGATTCAATATGAAAACCAAAACAACTTAAAGGATACTTCAACATTATTAAAAGTCCATACAAAAACAACAACAACACCTTTTCAGATCCTGTCTCAAAAGGGGAAGAAATGAGGTTGTTGGGTCTTCCCAGGAAGGCCATTCAGACATATTGGCATCATCACTGAAAAGGCTTGTCCTTTGCATCTGCCCTCCTTCTGGCAACTCCTGCAGCCAAGCTGGTGCCAAATGTATTGCTTTCCTTTCCTTTGGATCACATCAGTGAGGCCGAAAAGGGGTGGGTGTCCTTGTTGTCTGGGCAGCCCAGGACCTCCTTACATGGTGGCCAGGCTTGCGCCCTGGGGTTGTCACTTTAGAGCTGCTAACACAGTTTGACTTCACTTCTGGAGGTGCACTCATCTCTCAAGACAAGACGGATGCCAACAACAACAACTGCTTTATCATTATTGCTACAAAGCATACTAATTGCTTTTGCTTTGGAAAGCGGAAACTCACAAGTGTTCCTCCGTGGTCTCTCTTGAGTAGAAAATCTGGTGCTTGTTGTAAATGTTCACCCCTTTTCATAGCTTTTCAATTCAGACCCCTTTGTCTGCTGATAGTTCTCTAGCCTTCCTTCTTTATAAGTTCATTTGGAAATTATGTAGGCCCTAACAACTACCAAATGTAGATACTAAAACACAACTAATTTCTCTTGTCCTACTTGATATAGGGCTCCCTATACATGCAACATGTCCAAGAACACAGTATATGATGATGATCATGATATTGGCCACCCATATTATCCACCTCTTCTTTTTTTCTTCTTCAAGTGATGCATCCATATGATTCACAGAAAGCGGAAGTGGTTTTTTAGAATGCCACATTTCCACCTCTAGCACTGGATGTCTTAACACTGAGGAATTTGCTGTGAATTTAACATAGGACTTACTGTGGGTTAGGAAACAACAGTGAGAGAGATTGCAAAGTGCCTAGCAATCGTTCCATCTCAAAACCAATTGATTTAATTAATGCAATACACTGGAGTTGTTTGCTAACAAGGCCAGAAAGGTGGATAGATATTTGAGGATCTTTCCTATATCAGCACATGTAGTCAACAGATCAGTCTTATGGAACAAATACACCATCCCAAAAAGGTCCACACTGAGTGATCTTGACATGTAGGTCTGAAAGAAACTGAAGCCCTCATTGACGCCAACATAAGAATAAATTGGGTGCATTTGCAAATATTTTCCCTAGGGTTACTACTCTCTATTTAAATTGCTCGGTAAACTTTTTGTCAGCTTCCCGGAACACTGACTTGTGGTTATATTTGGAGAAAATGCCAAATATTAATTACCGTATAATGAGGTGTTCTTTCCAACTGAAAAGGGCTGATAGACAGTGGTGTACTTCTAAGTGCCATGTTTTTGCATGTGGAATCTCCAAGGGCGCTTCCAATGGCAATTTTAAAAAGTTCATTTCCAAATATACATTAGGTCCCAGCTTATATGGCATATTTCTCTGTTTTACATCACCATCATTTTTAGCTGCAACTAGTTAGATTGCACATGCATTTTGAAGAAAGCCCTACTGGGACTTACTTTCAAGAAAACACTCAGTAGGTTTGAGCGGTCATAGTACCTTTCTTGTTTTGGATATTGCAACATTGGTCTGCAACTGAGAGTGGTGGAGTTATTCAAAAGCACGGTAATAGAAGCTCTGCTCGAATATATGCTACACATCAGTAAAGGCATCACCAAGATGGCATCAATGTGGTTAATGAGCAGAGTCAAGCAAGCTACTTGAAGAAAGAAGGCTTCCTTCAGGAAACAGAAGCTTTGATGGAATGAGGGGCACCAGAAGGAATGCAAACACCAGCAAAGGCAATGCAAGCAGACGTGTGCCCCCCAGATGTGCCACAGAGAATTGGAGGACCTTGTGAAGCAGATTCTGGGGATGAGGAAGGGGGGAAATGAGAAGTCCCCTTTGCGCAAGTGGCTTTTTCATGCAAGTGGACATTATTGGATGCCACCCACTGTGAGAAAGTATGGTATGACAAATATCTGTAAACTTTGTATTAAAAATTCTTATTTTGATCTTCGCTAATCACCATAAATCACAGGAAATAAATGCAATGTTCAGCAGTGTCTTCCCACTCAAAGTACAACTATATTTTAATTAAATTTATTGTACATATCTACCATAACAAATGTTATTGCAAGGGAATTTTGAGTGACTAGTAAGTCAATGATCTTTGAATACTGAATTGTAATGAATAAACACATAGTCCAGAGACTGCTTCGGATAAATACACTGATATTTGATAAAACACTGCTGTCTTTATTTATGTTTCTTTATATTGTAAATGCTTTGTGCATTACAGTTTTGAGCTATAATAATTTTGCTGTTTGACTGTGTTGTAATAACTCAGAACATAATCTGAAATGAACCACAAACTTTATCAATATTAGATTAGAGAAAGAGAACATCAAAAACAAAGGGAAAAAATCACATCACTTTCTCTAAAGAAGGAACAGATTAATGGCACTGCAATACAATTACTAAATTCCCAGAGGAGAAGACTATGTTGTCTTCCTCTTAGGAAACATTTACTTGCCCATTGCAAAAGTGTTCTCATGAATGTACTAATATTAATGCTAGGCTTTTATACTACATCTTGTCATATTGCTGAACTGATAACAGAATATCAGAAAACCACTTTCATATCAAAGTGAAGTATAAGGAGCCGTGTGATTAGACTGAAAAGTTGAACTCAACCTCTAGTAAAGACTTACCCAAAGTCAGAGATTTGTGTGTAGAGCAGAAGATAATAGCCACTGTATCTGCTGGTGTGAAACCAGAATTCTTCCTAGAAAAAATGTAAGGAACTTTAAAAGTCTCTTCTACCAAATGGCTGCTCACTTTCCATACCCCATAAGTGTGTTTTTAATCTCTTTGCATTAAGTTTCATAAAATATAATTCTAGCTATTATAATTCTAGCTCAGCCGCTTTTGATTTTTGCATTAAATGGAATGGTTTCTCTGTTGTTGCAAAATCTTGTCTGCATATATTCTTATCTGGAAAATGAGCGGGTTTAGGTGTGTCAACCTGGCTCCGCGACCAAAATTTGTGGGTGCCTGGCCACTTCATGGGGAATTTTGTGGGTGCTCAGGCACCCAGGGAGCTGGCACCTATGAAAGGATTCCAATTGGTTTCTTATGGGACATGTTTATCCCAGCCCAGAGTACTTTTCCATAAATGTAAAGCACCACATTACAGCTAATTTTCACCTTTCCAAAAACTGGGCACCAGTCCTCTTAAAACACAGTTCTAAATAGTCTATTAGGGTGAAGCCTAAAATACTGGCATAATTTCCTTGCAGCCTTACTGAAACATTATCTGTGTGTTTGCACACAACATTAAATCACGGTTTAGTGTTACAAGGACAAGATGCAGTGGCACTTGGGTTTGTGCTACCCGCTCCACTTCCAGTGATATCACAAGGAATTGGAAGGCTTTTGTTTCCAATCTGGAGTAACAGCAGCTTGTTGTGAGGTCTGAACCTAGGCAGATGGCTTAGGGAAAGGAATGGCTGCTCATATACAACAGGAAAATCATTATTAATTTAAATATCAAAGTACTTTCAATAAAATTCAGTCTGCATTTCTAGGAGTGTGTGTGTAGAAGGAGGGAAAACCGCAAGTGCCTGAACCACCTGTCCCAACCCCTACCCAGCTCTTGCCCATCTACTTCAGCATCCTCTTCTCATAATGGCCAACTATATGTATGTGGAAAGCTATATCTTTTTCCCTTTTAAACAGAAACAAAAACAACTTACGATTTGCATCCCAATGGGAAGGAAATAAACCACCCCAGCTCTAAGAAAGGCATAGATTACTTACTACTTTAGGGGCGTGTTAGGTGATTGGGGAAGGTGCTGAATTCAGCACCTTTTAGGCTCTGATAAAATTAGCACATCACAGATGAGTGTAAAACTAGGAAGTAGGCTCTGTTTTATATTAAATTTGTCCACCATCCACTGGGGATCATTATGAAAAAATATGGTCTGTATACAGAAGATAAATTAAAGGTGCCTAATAACTGCCTCCTGGAGGCCAATCAACCACGCTGATTGTGCAGGAGATTTTCCCAGGCACTTCAAAAATTAATTGCATCACAGAAATCTTGGTAATAAAAGCCAGGTTGCATCGCAGAGCACTATGCTAATAGGGCTAGATCAGGCCTATGTTAACAAGCAAAGCACAGGGACAGAAGGGATTCCCTCTGTGACTGCAGAGACGTAGCTCTTGGACCTTATTCAATTAGTGGCTATTAAGTAAAAAGAGAGTTTGTGAATACGTATTAGAGTAGTAATTATTCCAAACTGCAAGTGTCCAGGAAAGCCCAACACACCATTTTACCCCCTCCTCCTGAATTGTTTAATTAACTACTCCCCAGTTAGGTGTTTTCTTCACTACAGCTGCCTCCTCCACTCACCGTGCAGTTAATTGGAGCTGCAGCCAGCCAGAGACCCTCTGCTGATATTTACAGTTATTTTCCCAACAGCTGCAAAGGGCTTGTTCTAAGCGATATTGGGAATGTATTGTAATGCTCGTTTTCTATTTTCTATTGAGTCAGATTGTATCATGGCAAGGTGGGGTATAAATGTTCAAACAAACAGTAACCGGAGTAGATTATTCGTCCATCCTTTGATTTCTCAGGTGCATAAGACTTTCCACACACCTGGTACAAACTTTTGAGTTGCTGACAGAAAGGACAATACTCCTCTGTTTTGCACCCAACTATTCTTTTTTGCTATAGAGATAACCTTTACTGCTGTAACATACCTTGTAGAGAAGAAGAAAGTTAACAGCATGAATCCCAGCTGAACTGAAAATACTGAAAGACAAATTAGTTTGATAAATGTTAAGTGCAACATGAAATGACCCACACAAATGCGCATTTTAGATATACACCCATCTTTTCATATAAAAAATGCATATATTTTACTATTAAGAATGAGAAAATATATGCCTGCTATTCTGCTACAAGTACAAAAGTCAGATATGTACCTGCAGAACTAAACACTGTCATAATACCTTACAAAATTCTCCTATTCCCCCTGTGCAAAGAATTTATATCATAGTAGGAAAAAGTAATGAAGGGCTTGGAAATGGCTCTCATACTCTGAATAAATGATCAAGAAGGCGGATGGCTTGTTGGTTTTCAGTATGAGACTCACGTAACAGGTCAAGTTGGTTTCTTTGAGTGGGTGAACTTTTATTAATTGGAGGAATTTGATAAATGTTATTTTTTTTGACAAAAGAAATTGCTTCATATTAAATAAAAAGAAGCTAAGAAATTAAAAGCCAAGAAAAGTTATGACAATTAAAAGATGAGGATATTGAAAGGAATAGTAGGAAGAACATATACATGCATATTTGTGTGTGTGTGTGCAAATGACTGCAGAATTTCTTATTAAATATTCCTAAAGTATTTATGAATTTAAAAGTGTTAATACAGAAGTCTTCATGTGTTAGTCGCTTGCAGAGTCAACACATATACAAAGGAGTCATGGAGCTACAGGAAAACATGTCTAGCCCAATCTCAAGTTCTTTCGGAACCTTCCTACGTTGAGGAGAACTTCTGAAGCGCAGGGTGTGTGGGCTGTGTGTGCTTTCTACGCGTCTATTTCTTCTAGGATGAATGAGGACTAGAAATTTTGTAGCTTCACCAGACAGTCTCACATGGCTGCTTGCCCTTCCTCACCACCATCTTCCACTTTTGGTTTGCATTAATTTCTGAATTGTTTCCCCACATTCTGATCTCTATTTAGTAAAACAGGAACTTTTTTTACCCAACTAAGTTGCAGACAGTCCTCAGCAGAATACTTTTATTTTCTGAGCTAATTTTAATCTTTAAAAGGGTAATCCCAAGGCATGTTATTTATCATCAAATATATGGAAGAACACAAAAGACAACAAATAGTATTTACCTGAGGTTTACTCAGAGTAGACCCATTGAAAGTAATGAACATGACTAAGTTAGGCCCATTAATTTCAGTAGGTCTATTCTAAGTAAAATTTACTTGAATAGCACCCCCTCTCTCCTCAGGCAATTAATAAAATGCTTACACGGTCCTTTTTGATCCAATTTATCTGGCATTTTTTATTCCTGACCAAAACATACGGATTATATAGACAAGACAAAACATACTGATTGTGCAAGAAATATATATTTTTTGTGCTTTATGACACAACAATATTTTACCAACAACAAATATTTTAACATGCTGCTATTCAACTAGAACCATCCTACAAAAATTCACCATGAAAAAACTGATACTCTTGCTGTTAACCATGGAGAAAACCATAATATTGTAAGCTCTATAATGCCCATGGAGAGTGGATGCCCTTTTAAGATTTTATATCCAGAAGACCATATCATAGTCGGCTCTGCTATTTACTGCTTAGAGATGGAAGACTAACTGAAGCACAATAGAATTTAGAACTTGACACTTTGCCACGTCAGGAACTGCAGGGGCCACAAGAGAATCCTTCCACACAGGCCTCTGCACACACAGAGGGAAAATATGCTTCCGTTTGTGTGTTTGGATTCTTCTTACAATGAGGGGCTTTGTTCTGGCAGCCCATCTGTACTGAAATTGATAGCAGAACAAACCAAGGATGCTATCCAACAGTGCAGATGCTAGCAACACTACTTTCTGAGCACCACGGCAGCACAGCTTAGCTAAGCACCCTTGCTCAAAATATTGTGTGCATGTGTGTGCATGGAGAGAGGGTGGGTAACTGGTGGCACGAAAGCTGCCACTGCTGAGACTATGAGCAGGTCCCTGTATCAGGCCATCTGTTGCTGCTAGGTCATACCATCAACCTTCATTTTGTAAAATAGTGCAACTGTGTGCTTAAAAGTTGCCACTTTTTTGCATGTGTCACTGCAAGTACAAAGGCTGCGCTACAGCTGGGGGGGGGGGGAGACAGAGGGCCATCTTGTCACCCCTCCCAGGGTGGCACCCGGGGTGCGCCGCCCCCTGCCCCCCCTCGTATGCACCTGCCCACAAGTATGCTTGTTCTTCAAGGAGCGCATCATTTCTAAATAGGAACAAATGTCTTAATTGAATCTATGCTACTGCGGCGTTAACCACATATTAAGGCGCACCATTTCTATGACAGAAAATTATAGTGAGTGTTACTTCTTCCACGTTTCTAAAATGCATCCAAAGACCATGGCAGTGCTCAATAGCCCCAATTCATCACATATTAGAATGTGGTCGCAATACAAAGAAACTCAGAATGGATGTGGGAGTACACTATGGGCTCTTGATTCCTTAGGCAGCAATACACAGCTCCTTTGGAACATTTCCCAGCTCTTAAAAGGGATTATAAATGAACTGGTGGTACTTACTTATGAAAACGATTATAATCAGGCTAAACTTATCAAGGTCAATGTTTGGATTGGAAAAAGTATCACAGAACGTTGTATAGATGATCATCAGGAGCACACAGCTGCTAATAGCACCAAACGGAGGCTTCTTTCTCTCAAGCCACTCCTTGATGTATCTTCGGACAATCTGAAAAATAGCAGGAGGAGAGAGAGGAAAAATCAACAGGTTGCCTCTTTTCAACGCACACAGGGAGCCAAGTTGGGCATCACAAAATGAATCTGACAGCGGAAAGACATAAAGAGAAGAGAATAATTTGGATGACGGCCACGGTGGATTTCAAAGCTTCCCTGCCACATAACTCTTCTTCTGGGGAATTTAACATTTGTAGTGCAACTTCCACTGGGCGTCCATAATGAGAGTATATTTTCAAGTACATTCAAGTCTATCCTTAATCATGCCAAATGTTCTTTGCTAGCTGTCACTGAGACATGCCCATTAAGCCTCCCCAAAGTTTATCTCCTCTGCTGATACTAATGGATGTATGTAATTATCACAGTCCCCTTTGCATCAACAGACAATTCCAAGTGTAACTTTGGGAATCTTAAAAATCTGACATCTTCAGGAATTTCATGTGAGCAGATAATCGAAAGTGATCCATGGAACATTTAAATATTTAAATAGCTAGCGATGCACCAGAAGTTTTTAATTAAATTATAACTCATGCTTGAAAAGCAAAAGTGCATGTGTTGTGGGAGCTTAAATAATTCAGAGTTTGAAGATATGGAGTTTTTGTAAATCGAAAGACAAATGCCAGTTGCATGCTTTTGGAATACCAGAATTAACGGGAGAAGATGAGCAAGCCTACAATTTGGTGCAACTTTTTCACATTCAGGAATTTGAAAATGAATTTTTTTCATCAGTTTCCCTCTCCCTTTATTGTTTGGAAGTACAGTAACTAATGGCAGCATGGTTCTAGAAACACAGGAGTGATTACATTTTGCTACTATTGACCAAAGTCCTCTTTCTGGACTTCCTCAAAGTTGTGACATAATTCCGGAAGGTGGTGCTGGAAGACTAATTCCCCTTGGGAATTACATCAGGGTGACTAGCCTGTAGCCCTCTAGATGTTGCTGGAATATAACTTCCACCATCTTTGATTGTTGGCCATACTGGCTGGGGCTGATAGAAGCTGATTGGGCAACACCTGGAGAATCTCAGGTTCAACCATACCTGTCCTACAGGGTTCCATCTTTTCTCCCCTTTCTCTTTAATCTACATGAAAGTGCTATGTGACATCAATCAAAGTCTGCAGCTTACATTAGACTTGCAGGAAATTATATAAGCCAGAACTTGCATTAATTTTTCAGTCACCACATAACAAGACTTCTCAAGAGATGCCCCAACAGATTTTATTACTGCAGTGTTTCTGAAGTAACACAGAAAGTTCATGCTACCCATTAATCCAGCTGTTGTCAACCTGGTACCCTCCAGATCTGGACTTTTTGGGACTACAACTCCCATCAGCCCCAGCTAGTCTGTTGGATTTGCCATTATATTTTTATAGGCTTTAAGTTACATTTTTGTTTTCATTGATGTTGCTTCTGTACGCCACTTGAGAGATTTTCGAAATATTAAATGGTTTAGATATGCTTTTAAATAAAATTTTAGAAATCAAAATCTTTCATAAGCTTCATTGGGAGGGCTTTCCCCTGAAAGGTAGAATACATAAGGCCTTTGAATAAATGAATGTGTGTGTACATGTCTCTGTGTGTAGACTGGAAGCAGTAATTTAATTAAAGGCAGCTGTGAAAAGCCTGGAGCTTTGCAAGAGTGATACTACAGACTCCAAATCAGCACAAATTAATAGTAATGCGCTTTTGCACACAAACAGGTGCCATAACACATTTACTGAGCCAACATTTGCTCTTCAAATAAAGGCAGGTTATTCAAGGCCGATCACTAATCTACTTTGAACCTCTCATACTCTGGAACCAACAAGACAACAGTTCTCTATATTACACTTTCTGTATGGTACTAGAGACACACTAACAGGCAGGCTCAGTGGAGTAATCACTGGGATTGGAAATAGGAAACCTAGATTTAAAGCTCATTCACAAAACTAAGGGTGGAATAACTCAGTCACGTTCGTCACATGACTTTAAAGACTGGCTGCTGCTTCTTTTCTGCAAATCAGGGCTGGGAAAGTGTCATGTCCAGAGAAGGGGCTTTGAAAAGGGAGAGAAAACCAATGTAGCAGAGCGCTAACAGGACCAAGTTATGAAAGGACCTGTCTGAATCTAAGCACTGCAATGAACTTGGTAAGTGGCAGCAAGGACACCACAGTCTCCCCCATATATGCTTATGGGTATAAATACTGATCTATATCTAGAGTGGTGTGCTGGGGGGGGGGGAAATCACATGATGTAAATTAATGATTTGCTAGTGGGTACAACTGACAAAGGGAGAAATGAAAAGCAGGTGCTGGGTAGAGATCTTAACAATAGGCATTGGGTAGCCTATTAGTTTCACAGCCACTATAATGAAATTAATTATATAATTATATAACAAACACTTTTATGAACATGAGTTTGACCAGACTGCGGGAGGCAGTAGAAGACCGGAGTGCCTGGGGTGTTCTGGTCCATGGGGTCATGAAGAGTTGGACACGACTAAACAACAAAAACACTTTATGCATATTCAAAGAGCTCCATGCACATTCTTCTCAGTAATTCATACTTGTATGTTAGGTCCGTATTATTATCTCTCTGCAGATGATATGGGCAGAGGACTTTGTGTATAGTTGAGGTGAGATTGAATTGGCGACTTTCCAGCTTAGCCATACACTACAGTGGTTCTACAACAAAGGATCTCAAACATGATTTGGCCCAAACAAGAAAACAAATAGTATGAGCCTCTCCAAGAAAGAAAAGTTATGCCCATGTCATACTCTATTGCAGCAAGTAAAGGTGGGTGTATGGTCCGTCGTACAAAGGCACCTGAGGCCACTGAGCAAGAGAGTGTCAAGATTGCTGCAGTTATCTATTATGGATTTAGTTACATTTTTCATATGCCACCTTTCCAACATCACACTTGAAAAAGACGTTCTATCCACCTGTTTCTATCTGAGGATATAACTACACATTACATGATGCAAACGCACGTAACTGAACCACGGCAGCCCTTTTATTTAAGGAAAAAGCACTTCAGGAAGTGGTAATCTGAAGCAGAGAACTGGGTGTGTGGCGTGTTAGTCCTTTCCTCGCATGTCAGTTCCCTACCTGAAATTGCTACTGAAAAAGCATTTCCTAAAATAAAAGGGTCATCGCGGTTCAATTACACATACTTGCATGCAACGCATAGTCAGGCCTCAAGAACTTCTGAATCTAGAACTGTATGCACTGCATTCAGGGTTGCCTGCAAATGCTGTATATCTTCCATTGAACTTACAACACTTGGTACAACTGCAGTGGTGATTCTAATAATGACACTATAGGAAGGGAATGCTAATGTAAATTTGATCTAAGTTAATTACATGGGAGGTCCTCCAAATCTCCTTTATTCATTTTTTAAAGGGGCAAATAGGAGCTTAATAAAAATCAGATGTGAGTTAATGGAAGTGATAAAGTAGACCTTGGCCATTTAATTTAGTGGCTGGATAGGATAGAATACCCTATAACGGTTCTGAGCTTGTTGGATCTGTGCTCTGAACAGATTCTACTTTTGAACTGCCGCCTTTGCTGACTGCTACTTTCCAGCCACTTTGATCTACAAAATCCCTTTCCTTTGAGCATCCCAAAGAAACACATATGACTCAAGTGCTCTTTGAAGAAATGTGAAAAAGATCACAAAACAATGCAAGGTTTTAAATATAATTTCCTTTATTGACTATTAATATTCTGATGTAGCAATGTACTTTCCAAAAAGATGGATGTCAGAATATCCCTCTTCAAATGTTCTCTGCTTTGGTTTTGTTATTTTTTCTTTAGCTTATTGCTTCTTTAAATCTCAGTCTCTAAACATCATATACAATAATCTGTGTGTTTATGAATAACATCTTGTTCAATGAGCAGGATGCAAATCACAATACTGTGTTCTATTTAGTTTTAGATGAGTGTTACACAAGCTCTTGCATTTTATTAAAATTCCCTAAACAATCTGAAGGGCATTTTCAAACTTCTATTTTTAAATGTTAAAAACACTGCAATTCAATACCATAAAACAAACCTTTCGTGACATTTTTAGGGTGCTGTATATTATATTTTCCTTTGTTTACCTTCCTATCAAGAATTCATCTGTCTGTAGTTAAAGTCAAGTGTCAGATAAGAGTGAACTATGGCATGAATGCTGTTAATCTGTCATCTCAATTTTTCTGAACAGCTTTTCAACAGTGTTGGCCTCCCAGAAGATTGCTGCTTCTTCCTGAAATTCAGCTGAAGTTTAGCTGTAAACAGGGCCATTTCTATATGGATTAAAGTTACATTCTAGTTTAAAATGTTTCTTAAGAAATGCTGTAGCTTTATTTACTTTAAATGCCAAACTATATTGAAAGGGCAAGCCTATGCACAAGTCAGAAGGAAGTTCCACCAAGTTCAGTGTGCACAGGACTGCAGCCTGAAAGCCTGTTCATAAAATCAACCTAGTTCTTGCTTGAGTAAATTATCATTGGTTTTCCTTTTTCAGTTTCCCATGGAAAATTGCTCTTAAAAGGGGGGATTCGTAGCTGATGCTTTATAGCTACTTTAACTTTTGGGTGGTTGTTGTCTAATTGTAATTTGCTCAGAGGTGTTTTATGGCACTCAGTTTTGGGGAGTGAGGAAAAGATATGCCTGGGACGAGATCAGCTGGGGAAAGGGCAATTACAGTGATTCTGAGCAAGGGTAGGTATAGACAATCAGTGTGCCAGGCCCCTCTCCAACTTGAAGAATGGTGGTTGTCCTATCAGCCAACCTGAATTTGAATAAGATTTTTCCTAACCATGATTTGATTGTGGATAAGAAGGCTGACCTGGTCTGTATCACCAAGACCTGAGTGGGTGAGCAAGATGGACATAAAATTGCTTGCATTTGCCAAGACCTTGACTCCACTGTTAAAGCAGATACATCTCAAGAAGTGTCTGTCCAGTCCTAGGGGTTGGTACAGCCCTAGGACATGGTCAAGGTGCTTGGTTCAGTCTGGGTGACAACCTGTAAGAGAGGGGTCAGCCTTGGCCAGGATGGTGATGGGGTGGTCTCTGCCTGCTTAAAGGAGGCTGTGGTAAGACCAATCTTTAAGAAATTCTTATATTATTCAGGCAATCTAAGTAATTAATGACCAGTTGCTAATCTTCCGTTCTTGGGCAAGGTCTCTGAGCAATGGTTGTGGAACAGATCCAGGCTCTCTTGGATGAAACCAACTTTCTAGATCCATTTCAGTTGGGATCCACTTCAGTAGACTTCAATGTGGAAACTGCCTTGGTCACCATGAATAGTGAGCTATGCTGGGAAAGAGGCAGGGTGAGTGTGTTCCTGTTAACTCTTCTCAAACTCTCAGCCGTTTTCAATGCCTTTGACCATGGTATTCTTCTGGAACAGCTAAGTTGGGGTTGAGTGGCACTGCTCTACAGTGGTTCCAGTCCTACTTGGATGGTAATTTTCAAGTGGTTGTGCTTGGGTAATACTGTTTGGTGCCATGGAGCATTCAGTGTGGAATTCCGCAGGGTGTGATTTTATCCCCCCCACTGTTTAACATCTCCATGAAAATGATGGGTGGTGCCATCCAGCATTTTGGACTACATTGTCTGTAATATGCTGATGACACACAGCTCTATTTCTCCTTTACATCTGCAGGTGTGCCAGTGGATGTGCTGGAAAGTTTGCTTTGCCTCAGGAATTGACTGGATGAGAGCTAATAAACTGAAGCTTTATTCTGACAAAACTGAGGAACAGTTTGCAGGTGGTTCCCTGGACCAGAGGGATGAGATGGGGCCAGCTTGGGATGTGGTTATACTCCCTCTGAAGGAGCAAATGCGTAACTTGAGATACTTCTGGATCCATTAGAGTTGCTTAAGGCTCAAGTTCCCTCAGTGGCATGGAGTGCCATCAACTTCTGCTAGTGGCCAGTTGTGCCTAACTTCTGTTGTAACCTCTAGGATGGACTACTACAATGTATTTTACATGGGGCTGCCTTTGGATGCAGTTTAGAAACTGCAGCTGGTTCAGAATTCAGCAAGCAGATTGATGATCAGGACAGGACACTCTGATTATATAACAGCAATTCTGGCACAATTGCATTGGCTACCATTTAGTTTCTAGGCTCAATTCAAAATGTTGGGTTTGACATTTAAAGCCTTATGCAGCTCATGACCCTATTTCCCCCAAGGACTACCTCTCCCCAGACCCTGCAATCATCATCTGAGGCATGAAAATGAACCTTTCCAATGGCAGTTCCTTGCTTGTGGATTGTTCTTCCCAAGGAGGAATACCTTGCACGATCTGTCTCTATTTTTAAAAGCCAAGCAAAGACTCTTCTCCTTATCCAGACTTTTGGCCCTTGTTCTCTTATCTCTATAGATGTTATTACTTATAGTTTTTATTGGTTGCGTTTGTTTTAACTGGACGCTTTTGTGAGGAAAGTGGCTAACAAATATAAATAATAATTTGCTTCTTGCTTGAGCAATGTTTTGGGGACAGATTAGCACACTCCACATGCAAAATCCACTTGTACAGTTCACTGGCAGAATCACTATATCTCAAGAGAGCAACCCAGTGAGCTTACAAAGTAGAATTCAATTACATATATCTATATATTTACATTTTAAATCGGTGCAATTGTAATAACTAATTTGAGTTTTAGTTAAGGACAGTTTAATATGAAGCGCCCACTTCAGGCTGGCAAACAAATCACCAGTGGGCAACTACAGAATGCATGAATGATAATGTACAGACATGGCTTTTATTATTTATTCATAGAGAACAGTGGGTTTTGGTGTGCTGCTTTGAAAAATGTTCAAACTGGTAGAATATAATAAAAGCACTGTGAAAATTCTATTTCATTAACTTTTAATCATAAATCACTCTTTAAAATAAAACATAAAATAAAAGTCTGTCACAAGCACTTAGTTCTAGAGAAGGGAGAAGGACAGCAGAAAAGGGAAGGGAAATACTGTCATGGTACTCATTTTTCTGGTACCTGTCACAATCCTGTTAGAAGGAGACAACACAAACAAAAGAGGCCACAATCTTTGTCCAGAGTCCCAGTATTAGGGGGCTGGGGAATAGGGCAATGTGGCTTAGAGGCAGGTCAATGAAGTGCTTTATATCATGCAGAAATATTTTACCACATGTGGTACAGAACTGTGAAAATTTGGCTCCAGCACATCACTGTGGCTCATGCACACTGCAACCCAGATATATCTGGCACTGAAATAATATAAGGTCAAGACAAATCTTCAACAAAGCCTTTTCTACATGAATCTTTTTCTGAAAGGCCACTAAACTGCTTGTAAAGGGGTTGCGTATTGAAGGGCAGGTGTTGAAGATGAACACACGGGGAAGAACCTTAGCTTAGGAGCAATGCAGCACATCCTCTGCATGCAGAAGGATCCAGAATCAATTACTGGAATCTTCAGATGTGGCTTGGAGACTCCTCTCTAAAATCCTGGGGTACATGTTGCGAGTCAGTGTAGAGAATCAGTATACGAAGGCTTCCTACATTTCTCAATCCAACTGGGTAGAGTTAACTTGATACAGCAGAAGGTATATGGGGATTCACATTCAAATGCACACCTCAATTTTCATTCCTTCACTAAAGGTCACATAAAGAACTAGAGGTGAATCTAATGTTGCCATGCAACATCAGTGGGCAGTGAAACTACCAATGCAATACAGGAAGAAAAGGAATGTCATCCTGCTGCCTGGCAACAGGGACATGCCTCCCTTTCCCCTCTATTCAGAGTGAGGGCAAGCGGAGGGGGGGGATAGGGTGCTTAAGTTTGCCTTTTGTGATGTAAACATGCAGCCTTGATCTAACTGGATACTTTGTGTTTGATCATCATTTTCACTATATAATCCCTATACGGGAGCTTAATAATACACACATTCTGAATGTGTGCTTTTAACTTCTAGCTTATTAAACAGCTGAAATATGTTCTGACTTTAGAGTCAAAAGACCTGAACATCAACATGTCATGCAACTAATATAATTGGTAACTTCATACATATATGTATAATGTGCAAGCATGTTATTAAAGTAGCCATACTTAGTATACACTTATCTGTAAAGTACATGCAGTGGCCTACTTGTATTCCTATAACACAAGTACAGTTCAAAAATGACAGGATAAACATCTTCCCTGAAAAAATCCATGTGTGAAATAATTCTTAGGCAGTACACAAAAAGTGGGTCCCAGGGCAAAATTAAGCTGCTTATGCTTAACTGGAATAAATAAATTCAAATTGTGAAATGGTGGGAGAAGGCTAGAAAATCCTTGTGACTTGTGGCCTGAAGAGGATGTCAATGAGCCCAAACTCCAGAAATAAATGTTTTTAAAACTTTTTTACAAAAACTTATGGGCTCCAAAATGGCGGGTGGGAGCTCTTGCTGCTGCCCAATACCCCACTCAACAACGGGCTCAGATGTATTGTTCCCTGCTTTTTCTTGCAATCTAGAGGCAAAGGTACTGGAAGAAGAAGAAGAAGAAGAAGAAGAAGAAGAAGAAGAGTTTGGATTTGATATCCCGCCTTTCACTCCCTTTAAGGAGTCTCAAAGCGGCTAACATTCTCCTTTCCCTTCCTCCCCCACAACAAACACTCTGTGAGGTGAGTGGGGCTGAGAGACTTCAAAGAAGTGTGACTGACCCAAGGTCACCCAGCAGCTGCATGTGGAGGAGCGGAGATGCGAACCCGGTTCCCCAGATTACGAGTCCACCGCTCTTAACCACTACACCATGGAAAGCAGGTAAAATGGATGTTTAGAGGCTTTTTAGTGGGTTATCCCCACTTATGTGTGGGGGCCCCCAGAACATAAACCCCACATAAGTGGGGAGTCGCCTGTATAACCTAATATTAATTTTTTTTACAGATAGGTAGCCGTGTTGGTCTGCCATAGTCAAAACAAAAAAATATTCCTTCCAGTAGCACCTTAAAGACCAACTAAATTAGTTCTTGGTATGAGCTTTCAGTGTATCTGAAGAAGTGTGCATGCACACGAAAGCTCATACCAAGAACTAACTTAGTTGGTCTTTAAGGTGCTACTGGAAGGAATATTTTTTTGTTTTGATTAATTTTTGTGTGTGTGTACAAAACCATGAATCTTAATATACTCCCAAAAATCCATATATACACTATTATTTAAAATAATAGCATGTATGTATTTTTATCCTAATTTTCACTTTGGGAGGCCTACACAAATTGCTTGGGTCTTGACATATGCCCTGAGACCAGTATGGATATATGCATGCACATGCAGGTTCCTGAAATGCAGTATACAAATACTCAAATAAAATATAAATAAACGCATTATATACCCTTACAAACTTAGTTTTTTACACAAGAATGTATAACACATATAAACAAAAAAAACAAACAAACATGAAAAATGATAACCAGAAATGTTTATTTCTTTTAGCAAGCACAACTAGTTCTTGGGTAATCTATTTTACTTTAGCACATGCTTAGATGCAATGAACCACATTTGATTTGAAACAATTAGCTGTGCAGCTTCATCAAGAAGACCTTCTCTAAATCAAGTCATTTGCAGACCTTTACGATACTTTCACAGCTCATTTACACCAAGATTACCATTTTCTTCCCCTACTTCATGTTCCCAAACACTTTTTTTTAGATAGATATGTAAAAGATTCATCAGAGGGAGTGAGGGACAGCTGCTCATTCTCAAGTAAAATCAATGTGGCTTCAGGGAGCATTACAGTGTCATCTCTCTGTTATTAAATGTCACTATCCAGAGGCCTTTTTCTAAGTGTCAGACTCCTCTCTTTTACAGTCCATAAGACTTTAGAAACATTATATATGTATATTAAAAACATACCTGTCCAATTATGAGTGGAACTACAACAGTCATGAACAGTTGTGAGAATATAGATGAGAAAGGCACAGAGGAAGAGGATCCAAGCTGTAAAAGAAATTAAAAGCATGGTGTTAATATGGAAATTTAACTGCTAATGAATTACCAATGAGTTTAAATGTCCAGATATATAAAAAATAAATCTGTATAAATCTGTACTTATGTGTGTAAACTCACTGTGGCTTACTTCTGAGTAGACAGGTACTGGATTGCACTGCACTGTATATGTTCTAATTTTGCAAGTCTTATATGCTGATTAGGGACGCGGGTGGCGCTGTGGGTAAAAGCCTCAGCGCGTAGGGCTTGCCGATCGAAAGGTCGGCAGTTCGAATCCCCGTGGCGGGGTGCGCTCCCATTGCTTGGTCCCAGCGTCTGCCAACCTAGCAGTTCGAAAGCACCCCCGGGTGCAAGTAGATAAATAGGGACCGCTTTCTGGCGGGAAGGTAAACGGCGTTTCCGTGTGCGGCTCTGGCTCGCCAGATGCAGCTTGTCACGCTGGCCACGTGACCCGGAAGTGTCTCCGGACAGCGCTGGCCCCTGGCCTCTTGAGTGAGATGGGCGCACAACCCCAGAGTCTGGCAAGACTGGCCTGTACGGGCAGGGGTACCTTTACCTTTATATGCTGATTACACAGCTAATATTAGTGATGGGGAATCTGTGCCCCTTCAGATGCAGTTCCCATCATCCCTAATCATTGGCTATGCTGACTGAGGTTCATGGGAGTTGGAGTCCAACAGTCCAATATGGAGTGCCTCAAGTTAGCCACCCATGTTAAACAAAGTTCTTCATGTTTCCACCCTATCTCCCATGTTGCTTGCATCAGGAGAGCCACATCAGGAGGCTCCCCATCCAAGGCCACACAACAAACATACATAATCTGATGTAATAAATCTAGCATCTAGGGGGCTGAAAGTCTCCTACCCCCAGATCACAGGATAAAACATAAAGTCATGCTTCTCAGCACAATATAAAGAAAATGAAATACGATGAAAATGTCCTGAAACCTTATTGTGTATCCTAGTTTTTAGGCTTTTCTAAAACATTGTTACTAGTTTTAACCATGGCTTGCAAAATAATTGTGACCTTACTTCTATTCCAGTTTACAAACAAAACACAAACACTAAAAGACAGGATAGATTTGCCCTGGTACAGAGTTCTCAGATGGAAATCAACTTTCGGGCCCTTATTTCTCTCTCAGACCAGCTGTTCAATTTCTCTCCTTTTTTGGCAAAGAGGACAAATATCACAGCTGTGGTATTCTCCAAGGAAGATGCTGCATCTGTAACTGCCACAATTGCATTAGTGGAGTCAGATGAAACACTTCATATCAGTTGTGCCAAATTGCAATCCCTCATCCACTTCGTTAAGTCCACTTCAGAGGCAGTCCTTGGGGCTATGCTCCTCAGAGCGTAAACATTTTTTTAAAAAGAAAGCCAGGTTGTGTTCTTGGATCCTCCTAATCATATTGAGGTTGTAGAATCTACACTAGGAACATCTCTTGGAATTCAAGCTAATAAAGGATACAGTGGTTAAGCTACTATCTGGAATCCACAACCTGTCCCCACACACCATTCCAAATGTTGGCACTTTCCTTTAAACTCTGCTGTTTTAATAATCTCACTGGTTTTATGATTCAGTGTTTTAAATGGGTTTCTACTGGCTGTCAATTGCCCCGTGTATAAATGTTTAAATAAATAAAGGAAATCATCTGATTGCACTTTTGTTTGATACAGAGAACTGAGAGGGAAGATATTTCACTACAGGGATGCAGAATATGCTTTACTAAACATAAAACTACAGTTCAGTAAAGGTGTAGACAGGAATGTCTACCAAATGGGACCTGCTAGATCTGCAAAAAACATGAAAAAGGAAGTTCCTGGGATATACAGGAATGTATTGCAATAAAAGAAGATTCACCATATCCATGTTTTCCCAGGATGCTCCTGTTTGTAGTCTTCAAATGTCCCTGGATCCAACACTATGCCTATTAGCCTAGTAACGGGCAGTGCTAGGAATAAATTTTCCCAACATTAAATTAGTTAGGAGGTATTGCTTTTTGTCACCCCAGACCAAAGGAGAGTAATTAGGGTCTTTGCAAACTCAAAAGTAAGAATACTGCAGTGTGACCTACAGTATGCTGTCCTTGGTGACTGCTTGGAAACTAAAAACTGGAACAATATGTGCTGCTAACAGCACCTTATACTGCTGCTCTAGTATCTCCAAATGCTTCCTATTGCATTTGTGATAGGACAGCATTCATATATTTGACTTAATCTATCCAAACTTCCAGTTCAACAAAAACCCCTGGAGATTTTCCCACTGTCCTTCTTTCAGCAGGCAGATTTCTACATCATTCTTAGTAACACATTCCTAAAATACATCTAAGTGAAGTGGTCCAGAGGAATGCAACTCTGTTAGTTGGGTTTCAGGACAGTTGCGAATGTTCAGATGTGTCTATTTAGCTCACTCAACATGCACTCAGCCCCCCCAGCCCACTGGAGGAGCTTGGCTGACTGAACATATATTGTGAAAGGTAGCATGTCAAATGCTTTTGAGTCTATGGTTAAATAATCAAGTCTAAATATGAACTCACCATCCTATTTTCACCCTTGCAGAATCAGCCTTAAGTTACAATGTAACAGAAAAATGCAAACAAAAATTGTGCTGAAACGCTGGCCAAATGTACATTACAATTCATCTTTCTCTTTCCCTGTTGTCATATCCTACCCTCTTACCTCACAGGTTTAGAAATATAGCTCAGCCTTCATTCCAGGAGAGTGGAAAACCCCGCTATTCGCTTTATTAGTGTCAAAATGACTGATACAAATGAAAGAATTTCAATAAAAGTGAGTGAATGCATTAAGAAAACGGGATAAGCCAAAGAAGTGGAAAGTTTCTCTTCATACAAAAATATTGTGCTACTAACATTACACAGGATAGTGAACTCAAATAAATGAAGTACTACATGACAGATATACAAAGCATTGTGAGCACTTAAAAAAACAACAACCCACACATTCAAGACTTTATTCTCAGCATGCTGCTGAAATGTTGCCCAATATGTCATTCATAAATGGGGCCATTTGAGTTTAGCCCTTGAATGGGGGCAGGCTTGATTTTCAATTCTCAATAGCTCACATTAAGTACTAGGGGTCAGGTACTACAGAAGAGAGTCAACAAAATCCACTATTAGCAACTGGAATGGGTTAATCCCATGTGGAAAGTGTTTTGAAGTACAGTAGAGATGTTTTCTTTCTACCACATGAATGAATGGTATCACTTTCTTTAGGTTTTCCACTTATTCAGAAATTTTCATACAGATATGAATATAGCTGAGTATAATTGGGAACAAAGGCTCAGAAACACTTTAACAAAGTTTAATTAGACACACAAATGACTTTTAAAATTGAAAAGGCTGGAAGATACTGTTTCTTAAGTGAGGTTACAATTACATGAGACCCCAAAAAACCCCATCATTAAGGTAACATAAATCCTGAATATTTTTCTTGAAAGGAATTAATCAAATATTAAGTTCGGTCACAGTATTCTTTCAAATACAAAACTGTCTTACATTTAATACCATTCATTTAAGAAAATTAATAATTTATGCAAAATGTATAATTTATTGTAAGTGCTCACTCTTCCCTTTGTGTACTTCAGCATTTCTTTAACAAGTTACTTCATATTACTCATTTTACATTAACAAGTATGTGGAAGCAAAGCAGTGTGAAGTATTAAAAGCTGCCAGTAATAAATTTTGTGCAAATAGCACAAAATATAAACTGTAATCAATAAATGTAAACCTATCTAGGAGGAGAAGTTCTTATCTTACTACATTTCACATACCGATTAATATACACATTATTGTGCTGCTTTGAAACCTTAGAGAGCAGTACAGAATAGGAAGTAAAAGTTAAAGAGTCTGCTTCTAGGCTCCTTTTTGGGTTAGGAAACCAAAATATAAATGTAAGTAATAAATAATTATTTTTGTTACTAGAAAATACGGAAATTCATGGAGTTTACATACACATACGATGGTATTCAACTGAAATTAATGAGCCTAATTTAGTCATGTTAATTAATTTCAATAGGTCTACTCTGAGTAAAATGTAGTTAAATAACACCAATCTCCCTTTTACTCATTAACCCTCATACATAACCTCATCAACACATGCTCCTGGCACAAACAAATATCCTGCTCATGACATTCACTTTCCTTACATAGTCAAAAGCACACCATCCCCTCAGTCTAAGCACCCCTTTCCCTGCAAGGAAGGAAGGTGGTCAAGTCTTTAAGATGGCACCAAGACATATCCTGCTACCCTCACAACACCAATGAAGAGTATTGGTGGAAGGGTTTCATCCTATTCCTACCCACTAATTTATTCTTGCAATTCTTCCCTGTAAAGCCCTAGCTGGGGCTCTGAAACAATAAAGAAGCCCAGTTGCAGGAAAATGGAACTGAGGAGGTTTGAGCAGGAGAATTAGCAGAGGCAGGAGAGGTTAAACACTCTTCCCAACAAGCAACCAATTGTCCTAATTTGGCCTTTAGATGGAGTTTGGTGGACAAGAGTGAGAGACTGGGGGGGTATCTAGGTTTCATCTGGTATGGTAGCTCCTGGCCACCATACCTAATGTCCAGTGGGAGGATAGAGTGCTTGCATCTGCTTCTCAGGCCTGGAATCACCTGCCTAGACATTCTCTGAAGGCTCTAATTAAACAATCTGGAGCTAACAAAAAAGGCAAGAACTTTGACAACTTGTACAAGCTACTTCAATGATTTCATACTTCACAAAAATGCAATTTATAATGATAATAATAACTACCAATGTATTTGCATGCTAATGATTTCTCCCATTTTAAAGATTGCATAATTTCCCAAAAAACTTCTTTTTCACATAAAACTTCACTCATCATGCTTTCCTTACACCTTTCAACCATTATGTGCAAGACAACAGAAAATATCATAAAATCATGTCTGCATGCATCTCTAAGTTCATTTTGATAAATAGAAATAGGGGATGGATGCAATATAAGACTGAAGCCACGGTTAGGGGCAGAAGGCAGGGCTAGGGGCATACCGTGTGATTACAAGGGGAGATAGCAAAAAGGTGTTAATATGAGGACTAGGAACAAGGTTTTAAAAAATAATTCCAATGGGTCGACATCTTACCAATGCGGACAACCTTAAGCTGGTTTGAGAATAGGAGCAAAACTGTGAGCATGAATGACAAAACTGTTTCCTTGAGACATGGTATGGGGCTTGCTTTCCAAAGGGAATACTGCCTCCCACCACCAACATATGTCACTAATTACAAACAGGACTAAGTAGAACATTCTCTTGATTTAGAGGGAAGTAATGCATTCTGAGGGGGATGCGGGTGGCACTGTGGTATAAACCACTGAGCCTTGGGCTTGCTGATCGGAAGGTCGGCTGTTCAAATCCCCACAACGGGGTGAGCTCCCGTTGTTCGGTCCCAGCTCCTGCCAACCTAGCAGTTTGAAAGCACGTCAAAGTGCAAGTAAATAAATACCGTATTTTTCGCACCATAGGACGCATTTTTCCCTCCTAAAAAGCAAGGGAAAATGTGTGTGCGTCCTATGGAGCGAATGCAGGCTTTCGCTGAAGCCTGGAGAGTGAGAGGGGTCGGTACGCACCGACCCCTCTCGCTCTCCAGGCTTCAGGAAGCTATCCGCTAGCCGCGGCTAGCGGAGTGCTGCATTAATCCCGAAGCTTGGGGCGCGCGGAGCTCAGCGCGCCCCAAGCTTCTGGGTGCCGGCAAGGTCTCGCTAGGCCTGGGAGAGCCCCACGACGTTGCGTGGCTCTCCCAGGGCTAGCGAAGCGCCGCGCTAATCCCGAAGATTGGGGCGCGCGGAGCTCAGCGCGCCCCAAGCTTCTGGGTGCCGGCAAGGTCTCGCTAGCCCTGGGAGAGCCCCGCGACGTTGCGTGGCTCTCCCAGGGCTAGCGAAGCGCCGCGCTAATCCCGAAGCTTGGGGCTTCGGGATTAGCGCTCCGCTCAGCCTGCTTCCCAGAGCGCCGGGCGCCCTGAAAGCAGAGCTCCAGGCGCTTCGGGAACACATCCGCAGCGTGGGGAGCCTTGCAGGAATTCCCCACAGGGCTCCCCACGCTGCGGATAGCAGCCTGCTGCCTGGCGGGTGGGGCGCCCTGAAGCAGAGCGCCCCTCGCGCCAGGCAGACATCCGCAGAGTGGGCCGCTTGCAGGAGTTCCCCACAGGGCTCCCCACGCTGCGGATAGCAGCCTGCTGCCTGGCGGGTGGGGCGCCCTGAAGCAGAGCACCCCTTGCGCCAGGCATACATTCCCCACAGGGCTCCCCACGCTACGGATAGCAGCCTGCTGCCTGGCGGGTGGGGCGCCCTGAAGCAGAGCTCCCCGCCCGCTGGACAGACATCGGCCAGCCCCACAAGCTTGGGGGACAGCAGGGAGGCGCAGCGCCACTATCCCGCTGTTCCTCGACCTGGTTCGGTTTCCCTGACCTGCTTTTGGGGGGGGAAATAAAGGGGAAATTTTTTCCCTTTATTTCCCCCCCCAAAAATTAGGTGCGTCCTATGGTCCGGTGCGTCCAATCGTGCGAAAAATACGGTAGGTACTGTTCCAGCGGGAAGGTAAACGTCATTTCCGTGCGCTGCTCTGGTTTCGCCAGAAGCAGCTGAGTCATGCTGGCCACATGACCCGGAAAAACTGTCGGCTCCCTCAGCCAGTAAAGCAAGATGAGAGCTGCACCCCAGAGTCGTTTGCGACTGGACTTAACTGTCAGGGGTCCTTTACCTTTACCCTTAATGTATTCTGAAACACACCTCCATTAGTTCAAAGACAGAACAAGTGACCAAGTTTGACAGAAGAGAACGTCCACATTTCTTTTCTTAATTGCTGCATTTGGTCTGGGGATTTGGTGCAGTCAAAGGCTGAGGGAGCATTGGCAGTCTCATCTAACTTTATGCTCCAATTTTGCTGTATTACCCAGCATTGTCAGTGTCAGGTGAACCAGAAAAATATATGTAGGGAGCTAAGCAATGCATAAAGAAATTTCACTTAGTTCTTCTAAGGGTAGCACTTCAGTTCACTATATGGAACCCTAAATTACAACCTTTTCTAGGATATTTAAACCCTTCTAGGTTAAACACAGGTAAACAAAAACATTTTCTATATAGTGGACCATACCTAAAATTTCCTCTCTGGAGATTTCTAAGTTATAATTCATAGCTGATTTTCTCTTTGTGTCATTTCCTTTCTCCCTTGTTACACAACTACAGCCATGCAAACCAAATGTGAAATTAGCTACTTATTTCAGTAGGGTTGAAATAATAATTAAATCTATTGTTAAATGTCCTCTGAAATCCCTCTTTCAAAGTCACATACAGAGCACCAAACAACAAAGACGACATTTGAGAAACACAGAATAAAGTCTCTTGGTTTCATTCTAGGAATATAATTCAACCAAACTAATGGATGGTTGAGCAAATATGCCTCCTGATTTGAAGGCCAGCAGCAGGTAAATGTGAGCAAAATTTGGTTAATAGCCCCAATGGCTTTAGCAATTTGTCATCATACAAGATAATAGTCCTGATAAACACAAAAAAAAACCCTTGTTCACCATTTTAGCTCTCTCTCTCTGTGTTTTAATATCTCCAATGAAGTTTATTGTTTAACTCAATCAAAAGAGTAGGCAAGGATTGAGAAATACATATTCATTGATTCCCTATCTTGTACTTAAAAATGGCAACCTGAAAATCAAAAATATGTTTTCCTCCTTTTTTCAATTATACAGATATAAAGCACACTTATCCCATTACTTCCAAAAACAAAATCCTGCCAAGTCTTACATTTCCATTATATTGTTTAAGCGTCCCCCAAAATCTGTTTGCCATCAGAGGGTGGTTGGTTTCACCTCTGCTGCCCAACCTCCAGCCAGAGGAACCTTCAGGAGGGGGTTGCTATCACAGGCATTATTTCTATGTGTATTTTAATGAGCAGAACAGAGTGAAAGATTATGTGTGTGGGGTGTGGAGTATGTGTGTAAGAACTTCACAGTCTTCTTTTTGCCTGCTATTTTGTTAACATTGCTAATATTGCTTTATAAATTATAAATCATGTATTGATAATCATATGACTTTTGCTTTAATTGTGATGTCTAGTTTATTTTTTAGTAGTTGCTTTGTTAACAGTGTTATAAAGAAGGTAATTATTTCACTGATGATCTGTTAATTATTACGTACGATCCATGCTGTATTTATGATGTTTTATTACATTCTAACATGTTACTGTTATTTACTGTTTGCAAACTGCTTTGGGATTCATTTGAATGATAAGCAGCATAGGAGTATAAGAAATCAAATCAAATCAAAATCTAGAGCAGATACTGCCTACATAGGAGAAGATAGATCTTCCAGTAAGTTACTTGCCATTTAATGCTGCTCCTTGTTTTGGTATCAATGCAACTGCTAACCTAGATGAGCACATGGTGGTAACTGCTTCCATGACACATTTTTATTTATATCAACTTAGAAAGTTGTCAAGAACTAGTCATGTGTACTTTGATCACTGAAAATAGTCTGGAACATTCAAAATGGCCCCTTTTCCACATCCAATATGACACTACTTAACAGCCAATGTGATGATGATTATGATGACAGAAAGAAAAGCAGTATTAAGATACTCACAAAAAGCAGCAGGAGCAAGGGAGTTATCACAATGCCCTGAAAGAAATCAAGAAGCTGATTAGTTTTTCTTCACCACACCAAATATGGAAGCATGAAGACATTAGACATCACCCTGAGAAACATTTGGGCATTTATTTACAAAGCCACTGCAATGTCACTTTTCTTGTAACATACAACCACGACTTGTGATGCTGAACTGGTATATAACTTTAAAACACTTCTGTGCCAACAAACAGAAAAAGTTTAGCTTCACTTGGAACAACAGGTTTGGAATTGCCCAAGAAAGATGTTAAATTGTTTTTGTATGCCACAACGGCTGCTCAAATTTTACTAGCCAAAAATTGGAAAACACAAGAATTACCAACAGTGGAAGATTGGCAGATGAAGATGATGGACTTTTCGGAGCTGACCTGACGGAGCTGACCTGATGGGAAGAATCCGCGACCAGAGAAAAGAGGAATACCAAGAAGACTGGAGGAAATTTAAGGACTATTTGAATAAATATTGTAAGATAAAAAACTTAGAAACTACTTGAAAGTACCAAAAAGGCCTAGGATTAAATTAGGATTCAATTAAATAAATGGGATTTAGAATAGTAAGAAAAGTGAACAAATTTGATTATAATTGGAATATTGTTGTTTAATAATGATATCGGAAAGCTGTTACATTCAAATACAAGGAAATTCAGAAGGGAGGGATTAGAGGAAGTCAATCAATATGTAAGCAAGGTTGGGTTTTAAGGTATTAAGATTATTTTTTCTTCTTTTTATGGTGTGGTTTTGGTTGTATTTCTCTTGTAATGTGTTGTACTGGTTTTTCCCCCTTTGGTATGTTTCTTTTCTTTCTTTCTTTTTTGTTTTTGTTTTCACTTTTTGTATTTTGTTATAATTGTGGAAAATTTAATTTAAAAAATTGAAAAAAAGAAAAGTAAAAGTTTAGCTTCATATGTAGATGAAGGGGTGGGAATGATCTATGTTAGCTATAATTAAAAGTATAAATCTTTCCACTTTTAAGTCTGACATCTCCCTCTCCTTTTATGTAAAATACATAAAATACAGGTCAAAAGACCCTTCCCACCATTGCTTCCCACTGCCTTAATAATCAACACCTTCCACAGAGGGGACAGGTGGTTTACTATCCTTGTCTGAGCTGTGGCCCTCTCTCGAGTAAAGTCTGCATCAACTGTGATGAATTAGGTGTTGCGTGATTTTGTAATGTAAACTGATATCCTCTAGGAAGTGAGTGGAGATCTCAGAACTCATTTCACTTGATTAGACTCTGTGTCTCCGTGGTGGGAAGGCAAGTCTTTCATCTAATTTAGTCACATAGGACCACTTCAGCTCTCCACATCCCCCAGGCAAAGAAAGGCAAAAGATTTGTTTTCTTCAGTGACAGCAAAGAGGTTTAAGGCTGATCACTGGGCATAATACAAGATTTTAAGTCTCATGAAGACAAAGCTTAAGACAACGCTTTAGGATTGGGAGATAACATGACAAGCATCATTTTCACAGCAGCAAATGGTAATTCTCACTTCACCCACTCCGTCATACTTCAATACTTATCATAAATTAATAAAACAGCCTGCTACTTAATGCATATTAATTCAAAGATCTTATTTAGCCCTTCCATTAAAAACTAAGGTTATTCCCCCCCAAAAAATATATCTATTAGGTATAATTTTCTGCATTACAATTTTCTGCATTACAAAAGGACTAATCTGTATATATGTGTGTGCATGTGTTTAAACAAAACCCAAAGTGGTCCACAGTCTTTGATCTGGGTTTAAATCCCTGCTCTACCATATTTCCCTGATTTACCTTGACATGTCATTCTCAGTTTTAAGTTCCACACTCGTAAAAGGAAATATTCATGACCTCCATTCACAAGTTTGTTGTGAAGAAGGGTGAGGCAAGGGCTCTACATAAAATGCACATGCTGTTAGCTGCTATGGACCTTTGGGACAGGGCAGGCTATGAACTGAAATAAAAATAACAAAAATCTGGATTCCTTACACCAGTTCAGGACACAGGCCTTTCTATTTTGGACCATATATTTATTTGTATTTCATGCCAGAGGCACATGAGAGCCTGTAGGGACCTGGGCTCCTCAGAGAGTCTGCTGGAATGCAGACCTTGTTTGTGGACATATAGGGAGAAATGCACAGATTAAATAGTCTACTCAGTTGCTCTAGTTTTCTCACCAATGAATGCAAAGGGCCCTTGGATAACTAAGGGCACTTGTTACTGTTAACTATAACATATATAAATGTTTAACACGATTAATAATTGTGCACCCTTATTTATTTCATAGAGAACATTTTTGTCCTACTCTTCTACTAAGTAGCTTAGTGTGATATAAAAAGTTTCTCTTTCCCCCATCTTATCCTCACAACAAGCCAGTGAGGCTCAGAGAATGTGTCACCTCATGAGCTTCCTGGCTGAGTGGGGATTTCAAACTAAGTCTCCCAGTCCCCATTCTGACACTCAAACCATTAGAACACACTGGTATACAGATCAGCTACAATGAAATAAATACAATTTAATAAAATGCTGGCCTTACATTGGTTTTCACCCCAGCCACCATACGCTTGCTCAAATTTAAAATGCTTTTTACTTTCACGACAGAAAGTCTGAAGGTGGGATAAAAAGCTAAGATCAGGTGAGCTTCCAGAAAACAGAGGGGAGGAAAGAGGAGGCAGGAGAAAAACTATTTTCAACGTGACACATGTCCAGACGGTTCTGTTCACTCTCTTTCATTGTTTGTGGAGAAAGCACAAAACATCTATATTTCACATGTGTTTGGAAAGAGATTGTTCTATACAGTAGAAATCACTTTTGAAACATATGTTTTGCCTTTCATTACATTAATTCAACAGATTTTAACTATCTACTTTCTTAATGTCTTTAATGTCATCGTCAGGAAAGGAATGAGAATAACTTGTTTCAGTTCTACCAGTTTCCAGGCAGCTGGTTTTGTTGAAATATTGGCACACACTGGATAATTCCTGCAGGTCTCTGGCATGTGTTGTGGGGGTCATAGGGTGGGGTTAGGCCAGTTATTTATAGGGGTAAATTTTGTTCCGTGATGGAAACTCAGCTAAGCCTAAACGATTACCCAAGGGTCTTACAGTATTGAGCCTCTTGTCCCATATTTAGAATCTAAGGGGGAAATGGCATTTATTTACTTAAAAGGATTTATAAACAGCTTAATATTTTAAAATCTCTAAGTGGTGTGCAATATAAAAAACAAACAATATCATGAAAACACAGATACAACCTGAAACCAATAAAAAAGCAAAGCAAAAGAAACTAAAAACAAATACAAACAGGAGTCAGAAAGATTCAGACACATAAAAGGGTCTGATTTTATGGGTCAGGGAAAGCCTGGGAGAAAATGCAGGTCTTTACAAGGTGTCTGAAGCCTTTACCAGCAACTTATTGAACTTTGATGTACATGAAAACGTAGGGTGATATAGAACAAAGCACATGAAAAAATTAGGGAGGACCCAAACTAGATATTTTGCTACATATAGAATTATAAATCAAGAGATACATTTGATGGTTGCATTTTGTTAAAAATATAAACAAATGTATGCTGAAAGTTGCACAGCGTAACTAAAAACTGCATCTCTTCTGAACTCAAATGCATTGCCTAATGGTCACTGTCTATGTATAAAAGCTTTAAAAGCTAAATATTTTAAGAGGTCATGTTGCTTTGCCTGTTTCCTCAGTAGCCAAATACCACCAGTGCTGTTCAGAACTTCTTCCTTAGTACTGCAATTTCAATACTGTAATACTACTGTATAATGAAACGCCTAAATTCCGAAAGCAAATATAAGTATCTGTGCAGTATGTGAACTATGACCATACAACGCTGGTGTCATTAAGAAATAAGAAAAAAAAGGGGATAATCTCATTTCCACCACAGGGCACACAAAAGTGCCGTCAGTAGAACAGAACCATTCTCAAAACTTAAACTTGACTGCTCTTCCCTCTACTGTGCTTCTTGTGCAAGTGCTATCAAACAAGCAGCATACAGAGATACAGAGATTGTGCCCAAGCATTTCTTTGCACAGAGAGAGTATGTACAGTATCTGCCCTTGTGGAGGCAAGGTCACTCAGCAGCAGAGTATTCTCAAAGTTAGGGTGGTATCTTTGTAGCTTTGTGTTGCAGCTCGTAATGGAGTCAAAGTTGTAAAGTGATTGCCTTTTACCATTCTGAAGGAAAACTTTCAAGAAATCCATTTACACCTCTGATGTGAAAGACCGACAGAATATATTTCAATGATTTTAGTGGGAAGGAGAAGAAGAGGAAAATTCACAGCCTGACCCAAAATGCTCATACAAAGAATGATTCTGTGTAGAAGCAGTCACATCAGGAACCTGTAAATGCACTTTTCTTTACAGTGAGGATCATCTAACATGTCATATTTGGGAAAGGCAGTTATGCTTTTCTGAAAGGAAAAGAGGCATTGATGGATAGGTTTTTATCTTCCTACAGAAGATTAAAAACTAACTTCTTATTTCAGTTTTGAATATTAACTTGAATAGGGAAGGTGTTTAGTTTTCAAAAATATGCACAATGCCCTTATTATCCGCCAAACCAGATTGCAATGCAAGAACACAATGAAGATTTTTTTTTTTAAAGTCACGAGTTAATTATTAAGGAAGGAATCACTCTGGCTGACTTTTGCTAAGGGTGTACTTCTTCAGAGACTGAGAATTAAAGCTTAGGATGCCAGTCTTTAAACCATGTATTTTAGACCTATCCCACTGACATTTATGGATCTACTACAAGATTGCTCCCAAGTATGTAGTCTAAAAATTGCAGCCTCTCCAGCTGCAGTCATTCTGTGCCTTTTAGTGTCACCTCTCCATCCCTCCCTGGCATCAAAGAAAGAGCTGGGGACACCTTCAAAACACTTGTTTTACCCTTACCTTGTATGGTGCTTTCAGCAAGAAAAAAGCCCCTGCTGCCACTCACTCACTCTGGCTAGCTTTGTAATTGGCTAGCGGCTAGCCTATACTGTACTTTGC